TGGGATAACATTCGCCACTCCGGCTGTCGCGGTAAGATCCACCAGGCATACCGGGTGAATTTCAGGCGAGAATTTAGCAACAAAGTCGGCCAAGGCCTGGGCTTTGATGGCGGTTCGGGGTTGAAATTTGACGTCGAATTGCCCCAGTTCGACTGCCCACTTCAGAGTCGGGCTGGAGAAATCCGCCCGCTCAAATAAGACTTTCAGAGGGAATTTGGTCAACACCACGATTGTGTGAGCATGAAAGTAGTATGCCAATTTCCTGGAGGCCATCATTAGCGCCAAAGAAAGTTTTTACACCGGCAGGTACCTCGACTCTACCGGTAGCAAGGTTTTGCTCACGTAAAAGATAGGGAGATGTTGGATGCCTTCTGACCGGACAAGCACCGCACTAACTGTATGTTGAGAAACTGCCAGATAAATGTAGAGTTCTTCACCGAGCTTGGGTGTCACCAAGAGTGGGGCGGAAGACAAATACATCTTGAGCTCGGCCAAAGCCCTGTCACATTCCTCGTCCCATGAAAACTTGGACTTTAAGGCTCAAAAGAAAGGGCAGCAATGATCTGATGACCGGCTTATGAATCGGTTAAGCGTGGCTGCCATACCGGGAAGATGTTGCACGTCCTTTGCCGAGTTGGGTTGCTTTAATTCTTGTATGGCTTTGATTTGTGAGGGGTCCGCTTTGATGCTTCGGTTGGTGACTAGGAAGCCAAGGAATTTCCCTGACCCCATACTGAAGGCACACTTCGACGCATTCAGGCGAAGCTTGTGTTGCTTAAGAATGGCAAACATCTCGGCTAGGTCGGACAAGTGGTCGGGCTGCTGCTTTCTCTTCACCACCATGTCGTCGATGTAAGCCTCCATCGTGCGGCCTAGTAGTGGGGCGAACATCTTGGTCACCATCCTCTGAAAAGTTGCCCTGGCGTTCTGCAAACCAAAAGGCATGACTCTATAGCAGAACAATCCCCTTGGATTTGTGAAAGAGGTTATCTCGCGGTCGGGTGCATGCATGGCGATCTGATGATAGCCGCGATAGACATCTAAGAAACTGAGTCGGTTATGCCCGGTCGTAAGATCCACTAGCTGGTCTATTCTGGGCAGGAGAAAGCTGTCTTTAGGCCAAGCTTGGTTGACAGTCTTGTAATCAACACAAACTCGCCACTTCCCATTCTTCTTGGGTACTACGACCGTGTTCGAAACCCACTGAAGGTAGTGCACCTCCTGGATTGCCCTAGCTTCCAGTAGGTTCTTGACTTCCTCTGTGACTACCTCGGCGTGGTGAAGGGCGGATCTCCTCGTTCTTTGAATGACAGGACGCGCATCCGGGAAGACATTGAGTTGGTGGCAAATAAAGCTTGGATCTACGCCAGGCATTTCGTATGGCGTCCATGCAAAGACTTTGATATTCGCTACCAAGAACTCCACCATCTTGGTTCTTTCTTAGGCGGTCAGGCTAAAACCCAGCAAGAAAAACTTGTCTGGGCTTTCTATGTCGATCCATAGCTCCCCCAACTCTTTAACAGCCTTTTCCTCGGCCCTAGTGTCTACGTCATCAAGGACACCTTGGTCTTTCGGACCTTCGATCATTTTCACGAAGCCTTTGGCAGCTCGGCTCCCATTTACTACCACGAAACACTGCTTCGACATGACTTGATCTCCCCAAATCTCCTCTACTTCTCCCATAGCCGAGGGGAACCTCATGACCTGGTGATAGGTTGACCCTACCACCTGCGTGGCGTGAAGGCATCCCCTACCTAGGATCAGGTTGTATGTGGACGGCACATTCAATATCCAGAACTCCACCTGCTTGACCACAGATCTGGCTTTGACCGGTAAGATTATCTTTCCAATCGGCCACTCCGGTTGTAAGTTGAAACCAACTAGCAGCGAAGTTACCGGAGCCAAATCTGTATCCCGGAGTTTGAGCTGCTTGAAGGCGTAATACATGATCTCGACCGAGCTACCTTGGTCGATCAAGATGTGCTTAACATCAAAGTCCCTGACGCGAAGGGTGACCACTAGGGCATCATTGTGCGGCGTTTGGATGCGCTCAAGGTCCCTGCTTGAGAAGCTAATCACATTTTTCTCCTCGGTCTTGCCCCTTTTGATTGCGGCCTGGACTGACAAAACCTCTCTCATATGTTCTACCTTTTTGATCATCTCTCGAAGCTCGCATACCAGCGTCAACTCCACTATACCGTGGATCACATTGACTACGCCTTAGGGGGGGCGCCTCTAGGTCATCCGAACCGCTCGACTCAGCTAGAGTATGGTGTGAGGCCCTTACGCCCCCATCGATGTTACGGTCTGAGTGACCGGCTGCGACAAACTCCTCCAAGTGTTGCTTCAAGGGCAAACAGTCCTTTGTCCGGTGGCCCCGCTCCCTATGAAATGTGCAGCGGTACCGCGGATTGAAGCCCTTTTGTGCGTCGCCTAACTTAGTGAGAAACCAAACGTAAACCTCGTTGTGGATTTCACTAAGTATGCAATAGATTGGAATCTTAAAAACCGTGGTGATGCCCGTACGAGCGTTCAATTTTCTATTTGCATCTGCTGCGTCATCGCGGGGATATTCCGCTCGGTCATTGCGGCGACCTTTACGCCAGTTTCTACGATCCGGACCACGGTCTGACTCTCTTGCGCGGTCACTTGGACAATTTGTCTCATGTCCGACCGCGTGTACTTTCCCAGCCAATCATTTATCTGTGGCCACCGGATTTGCCTTCACAGTGGACGCCGCCGCATCATCCTCTACTCGGATATGCTCATTGATGCATTGCATCAGTTGCTCCATGGAAGTCGGTTGATTCATCGTGAGCGAGTCCCTTAGTGACAGGAAGTCCGCGCTTGTATTGGGTGATTGCCACGGGCAATCTAGGATCTCGTTGAAGGTTTCCCAATACTTAGCGTTATATGCTTTGAGGGAGTCACTTGGCTCCATTTTGACACCTAGGAGGTGGTCCACTTCCTTTGGTGTCTTGGTGTTGGTTTTGAATCGAGTCACGAACGCTTCCGCCAACTGCTACCATCTTTTGATGCTTTCCTCCGGAAGCCTTTCAAACCATTTCAAGCCCAACTAGCCCAAACTCGATGGAAAAATAAGGCACATGAGAGCATCGTTACGCCTGTGTCCAGCCATGACCTGCCGGAAGTGGCTTACATGCATGTACGGATCGCTTTTTTCGTCATAAAGCGTAAACTTAGGCTGGTGAAACCCCGCTAGGAGCGGTGTGGTCTCTATCTCGAGGGAGAAGGGGGTGGCGTTCAGTCTCACCAAATCTGTGTCCAGAGGGACAGGCATGACTGAGCGGGGTGGTGGTATTAGGACCTCCTCACTGGTGTGACCTCCGTAAGATAACCGTTGGAGCGCCGGCACCCTTTGAACCTCCCGTTGGTGAGCTCGTTCCTTCAAAACATCTCTCAAGTCCTCCGAGCGAGCGGAGTAGGAATATCTCGACGTCGTCGGCGGGCGTGAGGGATGGTAGCTATTATCTTGCGTGCTAGACTTCTCTGCAGGCGGCTTTGAGTCTCCAGGCCCATAGTTTCTGGTGATGGAAAGGGAGGGCGTGTGCCGCTGGTTTTGGCTGTCTGAACGGCGGGGTTGGGTGCGCTCACTATGGTCTCCTACTCCAGCAACACCCTTCCATTTGACTTGCCATTTGAGAGCTTCCATCTCTGCTGCCATTCTCTGGATGACGGCGTCTTGGTCCCTTAACTTATGCTCCAAGCGTCAAGCGTGCGACTCTCTCCGCCGCCGGTGTCCGTCTGGACTCCGCGAATGACCAAAGCTCCTGGCGCGTTTATCTCATGCATCTCTAGGAAGACCTCCTGGGGAAGGCTCCAGGCCCGCCATGTTCGAAACGGCAGGAAGTCCGTCTCTCTGTCGGACTGACTCTGGGGTAATGCCGTCGATAGTAGAAAATGGTACTTCGTCGTTGTTTGCCATGGTGGGTGATCCAACGAGCGTGGAGGGCAAGGTTGTGTCTGCTCAGATTTCCCACAGACGGCGCCAATTGTACAGGGGGCAAATATCCGATACCGCCCGTACTCCTCGCGTCCAAGCTCCGCTTTGTTCCGATTATCTTGCAAACACAACGGCGGTGAGCTACCCGGTAGTGTGTTGCCGGAAAACCCCTCAGTTGATCAAGTTAGCACACACTCAGAAAGAGAGAAGAGAGAGAAGACAATGTGTTAGTGTTTCTCTCACCAGAAGATGTTCCATCCTCAGCATGGGGGGCACAGTCATGCTTATATACCTTCTGCGTTTGCCTCTGCATTCATTCGTTGTCTAACACGTGGAACTGCTCTCCTATCCCATTTCCCCACGTGTCAGCGCAAATTCGGCTAAACCCCACCTAATCAAACCACCAAACAGCATTGGTGTGAAAGGGCAACTCGACTGTATTGACCCAGCCGAGCTCGTAGCCGAGCTCCATCATGATCGAGCTTAATAATCGCCCGTGGTGACTGAGCTTCCGCGCAAATCCCCATTCTCCGAGTTAAACGAGCTAACAATCGAAGCCGGGTTGGCAGAGGATCATCTTAGTCGAATCTGGTCCGGACTCCAACCGGGCAAACTTCCTCCTGGAGCGGCCTAGCCTAGCTCGGCCCAAACACGCTCGGACCACATTTAGCCTGGGTGAAACCGCGACCCAAGCGAGATTATGAAATCTCCCTCTCAGTACACATTGTAAAAAAATTATGATTTTTTTTTATGATAAACATTATCATTATTTATGATGTATGCTATGATATTTTGTAATAAAATTATAAATAGCAAATTTATAATGTGCACCACAAAATTAAGAATGATAATGTTACGACACTTTAAGATTTTGTTATGACACTTTTTAGTGAAAAAATTTTATACCTTTTATAGTGAAAAAATTCTAACATTTTGGATTTAAGTTACGAAATTTCGTAAAAAAATTATAAAAGACATACTATATGCACCTTTTTTATAGTGCACATCGTAACCTCTCGCGTATAATAAACAAGAATGAATGCAAAATACAAACAAATTTCACTAACTTTATTTATGTCACAGTACATTACATTTGCCAAAAAACACCAAAAGATTTGCAACACTCCAAAGGATTGGATGTACATTTTAATAAATACAACAATTTCACCCCATAGCCATTTTCCCAGAAGGGTCAGCAACAACTACATCAAGCACACCTCTCAGTGCGACGTTCCTTCGTGAGCTCTATCAGAATTCCTGTCCCTTATTACTAGAATTTTGGAAAAGGTCAAGCAGATGAGAGCCATGTCCACGTGTACAATCATCGAGCAAAAGGTCATTGAAAAAGGAACTAAAACTCCCTTTACCCTTTTCACTTCTCTCTCAAAATTTGGAACAACTTTTCCGATCTACATTTTCTGAGAGTTTCGATGGCCAGCTGGGCTGGTAACGTTTCTTGAAGAACTCATGCTCGCGTTTCTTAAAAGCCTACGGAATTCTGACAGACTTATCTTACCGTCTTTGTCAATATCGGCCTCCTCTAGAAGTGGGTCTATGGAGCCTTTTAAGCCAGTGTGCTGCAAAAGGCAACAACGTAGTATTAGGAGCCACATATTTTAAGGTTTGAGAAGGATTATCTTCACATGTCAGAAATATCTGAAGATATGAGCTGGGACGTGTAGGG